ATTTACACCCGGCATAAATATATACCCCCCCCCCCCCCCCACAGACCGGGACAGAGAAATTAATTAATTAGCTAATTGGTTAATTCATTAATTTCTCTGTCACAATCTGTAATGATTTCTACTGACTCCGTAGATCAAAATACATACCGTGACCGAAACGCTGCATATATGATTACAGACAATGGCAGAAAAGCTACAAAGACTCACAGACAGTGGTAGACAGGTTCCAGCAAATGAGTTTCATCGTGTTTCACATTTTAATCTCACAGGGATTGCGCTAACAGCTTTTTATGTTGCTTATAAAAAAGTCGACTTAACATTACATTCTAATATAATATCCCAAGCAAAATGAATTCAGAATATTTTTATTATACATTTAGAGAGAATATATTTATATTCTTGTTTGAAGATACACAAGACAGCTCCGAACAGAATGGGAGGAAAATGGTCCCACGGGATTTACATATCGCCCCACCCCATTCGGCACCCTTATACATGGTACTTTTAATGATTCACGATTCATCAACTAAAGTCAGCTGATTGTTCAATTTTTCTTATCAATTATAATGCCAAGATGAGATTAATACCTTCAAAATATTTTTTATCGTTTAATCTTATTATTCTTTTATTCTAAACAATATATCACTTGCAAGATCACTCACAGCAAAATTCACTATTACTTATCGGCAAAATTTTTAATAAAAGTAGTGTTGTGAAACGGTTTCAAGCATAACGAGTGGGCTCTTTATTTCAAAAAAATTATCGGCTATTATTCCAGTCACAGTAGATTTAATTGAGTATTAAAAATCAGCGAAACACAAACTCAATCAATCGTCATTTATTGGGTTTCATGTGCACCAAGCACCACTCCAATTTACTCGACATCGCGGATTGCAACATGGTGGATCGTTGCCACATACAGCACCAGCTGGACCACAATTTTCTTTGTCGACAGTTTCATGTTCTAGTGCAGCGAGAATTGCACCGGCTTTTGTTACATGAATGAACAATAATGATGCCAGAATTGCACAGATAAATAATGTTCGATACAATGAATGCATAGCTAATATTGACAGAAAATAGAATCAAATAAATGTTTGTATGAATACGATCAACTGAGATACTATGCATCTTATCTCGTGTTATTCTACTTTACCTGCTTTTTATTTTCACCACTATGACGTTAGCAAAATACAGATATGCTTACAGTGGCAAAAGACGCACACTCCACAGCATGAGTATGATGATTTTGTTTTTATCAATCATGACGCTAGTAAATATCAGATGTACTTGTAGAAACTTAAAAAACGAACCTAATAAGCGTCAAACCAAATATTGTCGAAATCTCGTATAGACTCTAAAGAGCCTGAAGAATAATTAAAAACAAAGAGAATATTCGGATGTGTACTGTGGCAACGACAATTTGCAGTGCCAATAGACTTTGGAAAAGACTGCAGAAAATTTTATTTTCTTTTGCTAATTATATATATATGTAATTAAATATTCGCCATAAGCTTGTTCATAATGGTAAGTGAGAAAGATATGATTTTCATCTGTAATAGAATCGAACCCAACAGGTGCAGTATTCATCAATAAAATTTGTAGAAACATATTTATGACTATAAGCTGCGTTTGATGAAAAATAGATACCTTTGCCGTAAACATTACCCCATGAAGAAATGCGTTAGAAGAAGACAGCAAAGCAATCAAAGTCGATATTTACCATTCTTTCCAGTAAAACCTCTATCAAAACAATTCTTGATGATAGCATCGTCAGCTTTCTGAGCACAACCATAATACAAACGTCTTTCCGTATTCTGTTTCAGCCTTGTAGTGAAATCTTGAAAATGTGCTCTATGCTGCACGCACCACCGTTCATTTTGGATACGTTCAATTCTGCTCAATTTCTTGCCGTTACTTTTGATTGACGATTGGAAATTTGCAGAGGTTGGTTGATATTCCTCCGTAGTTTTCTGAACCAGAAATTGTATTTTATTCTCTGACGAACGAACCCAAGTTGTAGGCAGCCAATGAACAACAGCTGTTTCCGAACCTAAAGAAAGACGTTCTAATCTGAACATAGCTCTTTATGTGTCCAACATTTAGAGTGAATATTGTCGTATCTTCGAAAAAAAGATTTGTTTAATTATGAAAGTTTCTCTAATTGCATGTGATACTTATTTGAGTGGGGAAATATTGAAAACGTGAATTAGTATGATCGAAGCGAAATTGATAGTCTACATGATTTCTCTGTAGGAATTTATTTACGAAATGCGTCATAAATATCTTAATTCGTAGGTAGAACAAAATATTCAAACATCTTGGATACTTTATCGTGGTCAACCTCGTATGCCAAAATATGAATTAGAGAATTTGAAATCTAATATCGGGTTTTTAGTTTCGACTAATGGATTTCTATCGTCTTCAACCTCTCCTGATGTTGCTAAACTGTTTTTTTGCTGGTTGTAAAGACACTGACGACTATAAGGTCGTTATCTTTGAAATAACTGTCGATGGACCAAGTCTTAAAAATACCGTGTTTGTCGATATTGACAAATACTTAGGGATAAATTGCGACAGTGAGATACTATTTAATATTGGTTCGATTTTAAAAATTGAAGATGTCAATCACAATTCTGATATCGGTGCGTGGGTAATCAAAATGAAAGCGACCGATGAAGGTATATATGAAATTCAAGAAACAATTGATGCAAAAAAAAGAGAATTTTGCACAACTAATATTTATTTGATGTTTGGTCGTTTGTTACTCGAAATGAATGAATATACTAAAGCGCAGTCATATTTTCATATGATGTTACAAGTCTTACCCAAATCACATGAAGATCGAGCTTCAGTCTACGATCGTATCGGGGATCCAAATATGAGAACAACGAACTGCGGAGCGGCGTTTGTCAATTTTAATTTGGCATATGCAACAAAAAAGAAAAAACTGACTTAAAAACATCCTTGTATTGGTGTAACACGGAACAATATTGGGAATTATTATTGAGCCATTGGAAATTATACTCAAACACTTGAATATTATACAAAAATTTTACATTGCAGAAACGATCAATCTAGTATGGCTAGAATTCAGATTAATATCGGCGCCATCTATAGGATGAGTAATGATTGTGAAAAAGGCTTGAATTACTGATCATCGACTTCGCCTCCATTGTATAAAATCTTTAACTGATTTGTATGTGAAAGGAAATATGAAAGAATGTGCTATACAATTCTGTCTGCATCAATTATCTGCCTGAAATGCATGTCAATATTGCACATCTATCTATGAAAATCAGCGAGCTATTTGAAGATAGTAACGATCAAAAGAAAGATTTATTGCTAAAAGCATTACGTATTCTGGAGACAAGTGTTCATCTTGAATATGTTGCAACAGCTAATTGTTTAATGATGATCGCTGAATACTACCAAAAGCAAAATTTCGATGAGAGAGCTTCAAATTATTATATACGAGCTCTTGAAAAACGAAAAAAATCTACCCAAAAGATCATTTCATCATACTCAAAACACAATCTCTAATTGGCACTAATGGAAATCAAACATAATGAACGTTATATATTTTTTCTGTATGGCAAATCTGAGCAACAAATTGGTATGCATTGAAAAAAATCGGGCAAAAACAAAGTCTGCTCTAAGTGTGCTATCAGCAAACTTCAAGTTTGTTTTCAAAAACAAAAAATTAGCTACATATTTGACTCGATAATAGGTATTAACGATTGCAATTCTACACATTTCATGCAAATAAAGTCTCCATGAGTATGATTTGAACTTTTGCAATGGATATTTTCTTCACTTATCTGTTCAATAGTGTGCCAATCGCATGCACTTGGCAGTTCTCGAAAGAAATTAGTTACATTAAATTTGTCACTGTTTTGGCGGATATATGCTAATACATCTGTTGAACTAATTGCTTTGAACTGATAAATATTTGTATTGATTTCAGTTTTGTAAGGACTCCATTTTTGAATGTCTTGTTCGTATTCATACGCACAAGGGATTTTGAATTCTATACTTACCTTAAAAATTCTATGTCCTCCTAAGTCTAACGGTAAACCATCGTAATCTGACGGCTTAATGGCATGCCAATAATGCTCACCAAGACTGCAAATTTCATTAGTCAGTTCAAGTGCTTCGAGTGAATAAGTTCTGAGAGTAGTTTGTACTGTTTGCTCGCTAGGCTCATATAATTCATCATAATCATCATAGTATTCTGGTGAAATACGAAAACCGAAAAGTTCAACGAATATATGAGCATGATGAAGAGATGACGATTTGACAAAAGCATGCTTGATCTTGTATCCTACTCCATCTTCATTTTCATTCGCGTGAGCTAATTGAAAGAACATGATGAATCTGTACTAAAAAATTAATTATTTCGAGCAAACTTATATAGATACTAGTATGTTAGAGTATTTCACCATCGATTTACACTGTGGCGTAATTACATAGGACAAATATAAAGAGCACATGAAAAAATGAATATTGACATAAGTGTAGGTTTACTTCTCGTTGATATTATATGATACACAACACTTATGTTTATCTTTCAAAATAAAAACTTTTAATTGAACAACAACTGAGAACGACGCTAGATGAAATTTTATCCATATAATAAGAGTAGTCAGTTAAACTGATTAATTTTTAGTAAAAACAAACGATTATTGAATCCATCAAGATATATTAGCCGAGTGCAGGATGAAAGCGAGCAGCTCACAGTTAATCATGGCAAGACAGGTTGATTTTATTCATTTTCTCTCGAATAGTCACCGAAAAGATAATGCTTATTATTCAATAAGATGGTGAAAGAATTTATTAATACAATAAGTCTTCCATGTAATACAAAGAGAAAAAAATAATGATATTTGTTTTATTTTTATTTTTGTCTACTTGCTTCCATTACTCGTTTTAGTACTCGTCATATCTTAGGAAATCGGACTTCTCGAGGGTACCGGTGTGGGTGTTACCGTCAATGCTCATCTACAAACCACACCCATAATTTTATGAATCGTATGGCCGTCGCATATCCTGTTTCATAGTAATTTCCTAGTGAATACGAGGCTTGTCGAGCACTACTAAAATGTATCCATATCTATTATTAACTGAATGTTTGAAGCTTCATATAGCCATGGTGTAACTTTCAATTCACTGTAAAAAAACATAAGAGCACAATAATGAACCCTTGAGAGCTTCTTATTCTACTCCTATTTTTTTACAGTATACACCAATACTGAGGCCCATGATGTGCGCGACTGCTCGTAAACCGTATAAGATCGCATTGTTTAGAGCAAAATACACAGAAGCACGTCTATTGCACTAAAATAGCTTGCTTGTCATTACTTATAAAAATCGCTGCCTCAATGGTGTGCTCTACAGTAATTTCTCATGAAAATTATTTTCAGTTCTATATTCTTCTTTCTTTCGATTTACGTTTCATCTTTCTTCACGTTGGATTAATTATATTTTTAAAACATTGTGTTTTTTTTGAAAACCAATCAATAATATCGAGCTTCTCTTTCTTGATTAACATGCATGAAAAGTATCCTATATAATTAGTTATTTCAGCATTCGAAACAATCGAAGAAAGGAGCAACTCTCAAATAAAAAAGCGCTCCGGGAAGCCATTAGCTACCCGTGTTAGTAAGCAACAATTATTCGTAAGTGCTATGGTCATGCATATATTAGCATGTCAAAACGCGATCTTATTTGTAGAAATCCAATTCTTCATCTGACGTTTATCCCTAAATCATTGGCATTACTGGGGGAGAAAAGGTATTTTTCGGTCTGAAGTAAGCTGCAAAATCTACATGGGTACAGTAACTGGAAACCTTTTGAAATAGTACTCTATATTGGGGTCTCGAAACTGAAACCAAGTTACTAGGGGTGCATCAATTCCAATTCGAGCCAATTCAATTCCTAAAATTGGTCGGAATTGGTCTGAAACCGGTATAGAATTATCTCTAAATGAGTGTAGAATTAACTGAAATTGATGATACATTTGATTAGTCTTGACTAACAAGTGCTTGAATTTGCCAAAAATGAAATAAAGAAAGTAGGACGCATAAGACCTTAAATCTGAAAATTGAGATTTTTATCATGAAAGGTACAAGTCGAGCTACAATTAATAACATATTTGGAATCAGCGCAAAAAACTGACTCGAACAATGTGTATTTTAAATACTTTCGGCTACTTTTTTTTCTATCGAAAATTCATCTGGGGTACTCCTCAGGGTTCAGTCCAATAATAAAAGATGATTTTTTTTTAATGCTCAGGCATGCGACCTTTTTTCTATATTACTAAGCATTTTACATGCTTCACAGTTAATTACTGCTGTCCAAGTTGCTTTCTGATTAGTTTAATTTTTTGACTGGACCCTGAGAAGCACCCCATGTGAATTTTCGGTAGAAAAAAAGAGTTGCCGAAAGTATTTAAAATATAAATTGTTCGAGTCAGTTTTTTGCGCTGATTCCAAATATGTTATCAATTGTGGTTCAAGTTGTAGCTTTTATGATAAAAATCTCAATTTTCAGATTTAAGGCCTTATACGTCCCACCAGGGTTGCCAGATCGAAAATTTAAAAATCGGAATTTTTTTCCCTAAAATCGGAAAATAATCGGAAAGTGTTTTTTTAATGCTAAAATAGCTTATTTGTTTTTCCCTTGATAACACAATATCATTGATTCTGTTTCTGTTCATTTTTTCAATAATCTTAGAATCAATTTGATATAAAAATGTAATCAAAACACGCTAAAATTTATTAAACGTCACAATGTTTTTTCGCTCATATTTTTCATTAGCTCGAATGTCCTTCAATATATCACGCTGAGTTAAAAGATATTTATACAAATACTCGCTAGGATAATTAAGATTCATTCTGATTGTCAATTCTGCAGCAGCTAATTCAATATTCATTCCATTACGATAATCAAACCATAAATGTCTCATTATGACTAAATATACTTTCGACAAAAGGGTTTGCTCGTGGAATTGAAAAAGTCTAACTAATGAGTTTTTTCATATTTTATGTTGAATTCGGACAATTATTTAGTAAGACAGACCAGAATTGATCGGTTCGTATACGATTAAATTATCTTGGAGTGCTCAAAAAACCTAAATTTAAAAAAAATTCAAGAAACCGAAGAAAATCAGGAAATCGGAAAGTTATCGGAAAACGATGCAAAAATCGGAACGCCGGAAAGCCGTTGGAAAAAGGTTAAAAAATCGGAATCTTTCCTGCAATATCGGAAGATCTGGACACCCTGCGCCCCACTTTCTTTATTCTATTTTTCGCAAATGCAAGCACTTGCTTGCCAGGACTAATCAATTTTACCATCAATTTCAGTTAATTCTACACTCATTTAGAGTCAATTCTATACCGGTTTCAGACCAATTCCGATCAATACTAAACCAATTCCGACCAATTCCAATTTCAACCAATTCCAGACGAATTCCAAGCCAAGAATTGGAATTGGAATTGGAATTGGTGCATCTCTAGATGTAGCGTCAAAACTAGCATAATGAAAATGGAAAAGTCGTGTTTGGACAGGGGTCCGATTTCGGCTGTTAACGTCCCCCGTCCTTTGTATCATAGAGAGATCTTAATGTTACTAATACCGTTTCAACGAGTATCAGACGAAATTCCATTCTTGAGATCATCACGTCACAAAAATGCTGACTTTGGATGCGTACGCGATGGACTACATGAATGCTTCTGCTTCGCATCGCATTAGTAAGATGGCACTATATGTTGATAGTTAAAAACGAAAAAATAAATAAATATTAGAAATTTATTTTGAAGTAAATAAATCTTCTTGTGTTCTCACGTTTTCTTGATAGCTTCCAATTTGAATTAAGTAATATCAACTGACGGTTATTTTGTTCCAACTTGTCTAGTGTATATGCCATTTATGACAACATACAAGATTGATATGATATTACTGATAACAAGTCATCATGAAAGGTTATCTCATATTGATCAATATTAACAAAGAAGCTAGTGATTTCCAAAGAATTTCTAATTGAAAAATCGATAGTGACTACCAACTAGGTGTATCAACTGGCAAGTAGATCGACGGCGGCTTAGGCTTCAACTACCAACAAGGCAGAACATTATATGTCTGCTTGATCTGTCGATTATTGATTGTTAATAAACTAGAATTGTTGTTAAAGAGATTTTGCATCTATTTGAAATTGAAAAACACCGGAATTAAAAAGATTATATCAATATTGAAAACTTTCAGTCCAGTTTTTTCTTCAATGTGAACATGTCTTTTTATAAGATTCGGTCTAAAAACAAGCGAAATAAGACACTCAGTTGACTTATTTGAACTGGTAGTGGTAGTTCAAGAATATTTGCAAAAACATTTCGTGAATTCTAGTCACATCTTGAAGCTTTTTCCTGATAATCTGACAAGACAAAAACAGATTTATCGATGTGAAAGTAATTTCTAGCAACTATTTCATAATTCAGTCAATTATACACTCACCGATACTAATAATAAGTCAAAAAATCATCTTATTGAATTGAATTATGCACATCAAGGAAAAGTTAATAAGATCAGTCGAAAAAAAGGATTCCATCAAAGTTAATTTCTCATAATCTTATAACTACAATGTATTTCATTATTTACTGTTTATATAAAAATACGTATGTAAACTATCAGGATGCGAGTGCACCTGAGGACTAAAGTAATACCCATCGCTGCCTGTGACCTCACCCATGCCCGCGCTTTTAACTTTTGTGAGTATTCGCTTCTCATTCCCAGATGTACACCCAACGAAAAATATTTGTCCTATGATCCTCATCGGAAAAGGTACCGTTCGATAGACGATGAAATTTTCTATTGGTTAGGTTACATTTTTTTGCCTTCCTACTTCATTATTTCGTATAAATAACCATGTTGTCAACAATAGCTGAAGGTTATGAGAATGTTATAGACGATTTGTCCTTCAAAACAATTTTCATAAAATCTCAGGCACATTGATTTATGGAAATTTTCAAGATTATCGACTTTTAATCGAAAAAATCGTTTAAATATTACCGTTTTACGGTTTTCTTGTTAAAGACATACAAATTCCTCAAGTATAAATAGTGTGACTGACTTCTCGCACGCTGTTTTGGACACACTCAACATGCTCAAATCTACTAGGAAATTTCTTCTTTGACACCAGCATTAGTTCCATTGTGTTTTACATTGTCAATTCTCATAGGAATCGCACGAGTAGCTTTTGAAATTGTTCACGCTCGAATGAGCGAGTCTTGTTATTGGTAACATCAATAGAAATTCACACCACAGTAGTGCACACGCAGTGAACCTTGTGTATTACATTCAAATGAATGACATCGAGAAAATATTATGAAGAGACAAATGAGACTAAGTATAGACGACACTCATATTCAATATGGTACATTACTTCTAAATAACAATATTAAATACAGATCATCAAACTCGATAAACTCTTCAAATATAATTCTTCGCTAGAAAATATATTACGAGTTCATTTGCTTCAAAGATTATGTTAAGTTTCCTGAAACGAGTTTGTCATGGTAAGTCCCTGCGATAGAAATGAGAGAAAAACAAAAAATAATTAAACGATGCAATGCCTTATGTTTTAATTTTTAAACAGAAACGTGTTGTTAAATAATTCTAACCGATAAATTCTACTATAGATTGTTTCATACTGCCATTGTGATAAATATATGTTGTCTAGCGTAAGAAAACATGCGGTAGACGAACAGAAAGAAAATATATCTTAAGATTCGTCCATTTAATCGTCGGATACATCATTTTGTATGTGATTACTTTTCAGTAGAAATTCGTAAATAAAAATGAGTTCGATATCGAAAGCATCAAGTCGATCATCGTCATCATCAGGTTTTTCTTCGACTATACATGAACCTTTTTCACTGGTTTGTTATTATTGTTTATTTTTTGAATTTTATTTTTTTTCGTTCCTATTTTTAGACTTCAACTACACAAACAGTACTTGACATTCGACGAGCTGATATTAATGCTCGTGCGATATTTTGTGGCGAACAAGTGAATAAAAAACAAATAGAAAATGTAAAATAATATTTTTCAATTATAGGATTGCCGATTGAATGAATTACGTCGTATGACGGGTGCAATTATTGATCTTAATGTAGTTCAAAATACAAATAGTCCATTTGAACGAGTCAATTGGACAATATTTCATCGTAATAAAGAAGTTCGCGATTTTATTATCCGACGTCTTACTCATTGGTCACAACAAACACAAATTCTTTGTGATATGGCTTATGCGGATGTGATTTTCCTACAAGAAAAACGTAATTATTTCTTTGATTTTGTTATCTGCAAAAACACCGGGAAAAATCGATTTAGAAAATCAGCAGATACAAAAGTCACCGCCACTTACAGCAGCCAATTTCGGACGTCGAAATCGAACACAAAGTTTAACACGTTCGTAAACATTCTTGTTTTAATTTATTAAAAAAAAATAAACTTACAGAATCAGCAACAACAAATTTTCATCCAATAAGAAATCAAATGCCTAGTACACCAACAGCATCATCATATAAACGCGAATTGCCATTTGCAGGCCTTCTAGGCCGTACTTTATTAAGTATTTATTGAAATGAAGATCATCCATCGTTTTTATTTCAAGTTAATTTCAGAACTCGATCCACGATTCAATGACAATGGGAAATTATTTAAATCAAAGACAGATATTCGTCAAACTGAAGAAATAGTTCCTACGTGTGCAGCTGAGCATGTAAGTACTTGAAATGAGATTTTTATTTTAGTTTTCTTTTACTACTTGTCAAGGTTGACATCACGCCAATTGAAATCAGCCAATTAATGGAAACAGCAAAATGGGCGGGCTTGCTATCGGACACATCCGAAAATGAACTGTAAATAATTTGGATTCCTCTGAAAAGACACATGAATTTCAATTTTTTTAGGAATGAAAATCGAGTCTGCTTTGCAGATACAGTGTCATTGTCAAAACTAGCCGAAATCTTGAAAAATAATGAATTAAAACCAACATCGGATGTTCGTGACATTGATAATATTATACAACAGAGTACTATGAATGTAACCAGCCGTGAACAAATCCGAAAAATGGATGGCAAAAAATATTGGTTTCACCGTGTTATACTCGATGGTCATATACAGTTTCCTGTTGGAATAAGTCAAGATGCTAGTGAAGCTCGACGCCTCGCCTATCGACAAATGGTCGCTGTCTGTTTGAATGAAGACGGTATTAAAATGAAAATGATAATAGGTAATCGCGTTAAGGTAGTCAAAGGACCAAAATTACAAGGCCAACATCGTCCTATTCATGATGATCTCGATATGAATGGTAAAAGATTTTTATTTGATTAGGAAATATATTTAGTTTTCTGTTTAGCGACCTATATTTCAATGAATGATTTATCATGCTTGTCTAATTGTAAACTGGTACATTAAATGGAAGGGAATGAACTTTATTTTTATTTTTATATTTTCTGAAGTGCATGTTAATTGAATATATGTTAATAAAACAGAATCTTTAGATCGATAGCATTCTCAATGCAATAGAAAATTTTATAAAGATTAATGTTAAATAAAATCTTAATGTGTGAATTCACTTAGATATAGCATAAAAATGCGTTCATTATAACATACAAAAGAAAACGGAAATCGATTGTTTAGCTTTGTAGGTTTACAAATCTGTATTAATTGAAAAGAATACGTGCATTAATTTTTAGTGTACATTGGATGGAATAGAAAATTATTTCTTTTTTTAAAGGATCTATTGATTTTATTTCATTTAATATTGACCGAATTTTAGAACTAACTGCGTAACTATAGTATTCTTTTAATATTCGATTCAAATAAAAATGTTACCAGTCAAAAATAGCACTTAATATGTGTATATTACAGTAAAAGCAATAACGACAGCTGCCGTAATACACTATGCCTCACAACAGGCATCTTGAATCGTTTCTTTTTATGTATCTATGTATGTATTTGTGTGTTCTTGTCGTCAAAGCAGAACAGAATGGCGTTATTCACTCATTGCACTTGAACCATAACCAATAGAATTTATTTTCTTTTTTTTTTGAAATACTTTGAAGAAACCAATTGTGCACCAGTACATTAGGAAATTTTGTTGACAGTAACCCCATACCTTTGTTGAACAACTTCAACAAAAAAGAAGAAAAATTACAAACATGCGTCTCTGATTTATTTATGAATCACAAAAAGTTTTACGAAATGACAGAAAATGTTATGACTAATATTTCTCTAGATACTTCAAATGAAAAACAATTATGTCTCTTTTTCGTTGATGTCATAGTGAGGTAAGCAACTATAATGAAAAGTTTTGAATTTTAATTGACACATGTTAAATATTTTCTTTTATAATCGATAAAAATGTCTATTTGATAATCGACAACAAGATAAATAAAAATATTAGTTATTTCTTTTCTTTAAATACTCTGTATATTTGTGTATGATAAATCACTTTGTTTTTCGGCTATGAATGTTCAATATAACCATAGAAATAATAGAATAAAAACAAGATTCTTTAACGCTATTAAATAAATTTTCTAGTTCGCCCAAAATTGTTATTTTTAGTCAATAGTAGAAATTCAGCTAAAGACAAACTATGAACATTTGAATGAAAACAATAAAAAATGTCTGTAAAGAAAAACTAAGATATTATATCATATAGTCCATGTTGATCCTGTTAAGTGAGTAAGAAAACGGGCATTTGCAATACGGGTACGAACGAGTCACCATGGGATGAAGAAAAGAAAAAAAAGTGGAGAACGAAAGAAAAAAACGATAGATAAAACAAGGACGGAAGAAAACGACAGTAGGAGAAAGAGAAAAAATAGGGTATATGTAACAGACGAAAGAAAAAAAATGCGGACGTACGACCACGACGCCTTGAGATTACTTTTTTTTTTTGATAACCGAACAGAATGAAGTAGATGCGTAAGGCATACAGAGAACGAGTAACAATCGGCTAGTAACCACGTTGACGACATATTTGACAAAAGGTTGGCGATTGACTGTTGTATTCTTTGTTCGATAAGACAACACGGTATTCCCCACACTAAAAAAGACTCGTAGACAACATCTGATCAGTTGCTATTTTTTTCCTATTATTACTGGTTCATGTGTATGCAGTTAGACATGACAATTTTTATTTTGCGTTTATCTTCGTATGTGTATGCGTATGTATAGGAGCAGCTTAGTATATATGTTTCATAGAAAAAAAACACTCTTATTTCACTACTTTATGCGTTCGTTATTTTAGGTTTTAGCGTATTTAGAATAGGACTGGTCTAGAAATGTATGCACCGCATTTTTCAATTTACATCGGCTGATTTATTATTAGTATTTTATTTGTCCGATGATATTTTATCTCTTTGTTTATTTTAGTTGAGATTGTTCAATAATATTCATGGATTTATTATGAAGCATCCTGCTGACAATTGAATAACATGCGTTATTATAATCCGTTATATACTCGAAAATGGACAAAAATCTTTGTGCCGGTGTCAACATTTTTTACACAACTAGGTGAGAAAAATATTCATTTTTTGCCTTATCACGATATAAAATCCCGAGAGCTTTAATTTCCTTTTTATCAAATTAATACTGATAACGTACAAGAAAAGAAACGAAAAATAACGTTAGGGCTTCTTTTTTGCGCCTTTTTTTTTATCTGGATTCTTGTAGATATGATAATAATCGAAAAATTAACAAACATCAACTTGATGTTTTTTTTCTTCTACTTTAATTATTCCTCTTTATTGAGGTTCAATCGTCGAGAACGAAGTTTTGATTAGTTTGAAAAATAAAACTTAAAAAATAGAGTCGAATAGCGACGAATAGAAATTCGATTCTTTCTGCAGAAATGTTAATGATATTTACTCTGCCAATTTCTTTTAAAAATTACCAAAATTAGTTCGACTATAGATATTCTAAATGTAAAATGGCAAGTACAAAATTAGTTGAAGGTCATTTACTAGCAAACCATAAATATATTTATTTAGTGGCTTTATTGCCGCGAAATTCATTGTATTTTTTATTTGTTTGAACAGCAAAAGTACATCAATTTGACACAGAAAGAACTCGCTCTTATTATTATAGTTTGATTTTAAATACATTCGATAACGTTAGCAGCACACGATCATTATAAATTCTATACTGTTTATAGTTAAAAATATAAATTCGATTAAAGAAGACCTATCAAAAAACTATTTTTGCTTCTCGAACTAATCATAGGTCAAATTGAAAATGAGTACTAATTGTGTTATGATAAACCATAATAATGGAAAGGAAAATGAAGCTTGTACTTCAATCTGTTATTCTTCCTGTTTTATTTTCTAGCGTTTGATTCATAAGTCCACATGACATGAAGAAAACGTTTACACACCGTTTTATGAAGGCAGATTGCTTTTGTTTGGGAAACTATATGATTCATCTTTGGTTTTGCTTTCAGGTAGTCAGTTAGGTTTTCAGGCAAACACAAATAATGATGAATCAACGACGCCTTTATCAAGTGAATATACCGCCAATTCATCTTATGGTAATAATTCGTCATCATTGTCAACGTTATTTTCAACGTTAACATCACAATTTCGACCATCGTATAAAACCTTAATACCCTATAAAAATCATCCTAATGGCATTGTTAAACATGATAATAATAATTTAATTTATCACCAACTTGATATTCATAGAATAAATGATGAAAATAATAATGAGAAAAATAATAATATGACTAATAATTCAATTCTTATTGATATACCAACAAATTATTCAAACGATTTGTTGATCGATACCGATAATAAACATTCAAATTTTTTAACTTTAAAAGAAAATTTTATTTGGATAATTTTTGCAAGTTTACTGTATTTTCTATGGTTTATATTTATTGCTGGTATTTCAATAGTACATATTTTAATTTATTCAGCTTTACTTATATCTTATATTCTATCCGAGCGCACAAGACGTTTTGCATTAGCGATATTAATTTATTTGACATATTTACTTTTATACGATGCATTACGTTTAATACCTAATTATACGGTATCAACTATTCATATAGAAGATATTTATTTAATAGAAAAAAAACTATTTGGTATTGTTAAAAATGGACATATGATGACATTGAATGAGTATTTTCAGCAAAATCATATACCATTATTAGATGTTTTCACCGGATTGTGCTATCTTAATTGGTAAGAATCCCATCTATATATGATATTCAACAATGAAAATATTCTCTATTCAATTTGTTTCCTAGAGAAATGAATTTGACAAAAATTTTCTGTTAGGTTCTAAAGATCCTATATACCGATTACACTTCGTAATTTTGTTGCGGCCTTGAAATAAAAAAAAATTCAATGCACTATATCACTATTTATGATGCACCATAAACAAACTTTTAAAACGCTTCAAGTTCTATACTCTAAAACGAATAGGCTTATTAGCGAACTTGTATAACTTTTGAAGTTTCGTACCGATCTACCAGGTCTAAGAAAATGTTTAGCAGCTCGTGCCCTGGTCGCTTTTTAGTTGTGGAATAAATATATTATTTTTCGAGCGCAGTAAATAGTTTGAGATGGTTAGAGTCGTAGATAAGGTATCCATGGTTTTGTTGTCAGTGTATTTATGATACTAGCGTTCTCCGTTATGCTGGTTTTTTTCTGGGTATAATTTTTGATTGACAAACGATAAGGAATATGTTTAAGATTCTGCAAAAGTTGAGATGTGTAGAAATTTTCCGCATACCTCGAAGCTATTTAACAAGTCGACGACAGTAATCAATACTGTTTTCAGAAGATACAACGGTCAAAATAGAGAATTAAGCAGTCCAGCGTTGACTTGATTTTTTTATGTTTGAAACAGTTTGCCAGGATGAACTTTTTCATGTAGATTTTTGCCTTTTAAGCGGATAAAAGGCGTAATGTATTGAAAAAAAGACGGGAGTACTTTTATGCGTAATAGTGAGAAAGCTTAAATAGAAAAAAAAGCCGCGCGTTCCTAATGATCTTGTAAAGAAAATAAAAAGTAGCCGCATGTGGTGGGCTGCTTCCAAGAATTCTAAGATACGAGATCGAAAATAGTTCTTGAATAATATCAAGACTCGAGTCATTCTGTCATTGATTAATGAAAATTTATCTGTAAGCTATTGTCAGGGCGCTGTGCTTCTAATTATTTACTACGAATAGAATTTTCTATTTAGTTAACAATAGCAGAAACAGGATGTAAACAGTAACTGACGAATATCTAAGTGCCTTTTACTCAGCCGCAGAAAAATACTTAGCTATAGAGAACTGGAAATTTTCCTGTTGATTATTCATGAAGATACTATCCTCACCCGAGAATTAATTTGTGTTTCAATTGTTCGCAGATGAAATATTGATATTATTTTTACCAACAAAAGCTTTTGCGTCTTATCTCGTTTCTATGGAGACAGCGAATTTGATCACTCTTGAGATATTTAATCCTGTGAGAAATTCATCTGTTTTATAAGTTTATAATCAACAAGAAAAACTTGTGAAGCTAAAATTTGAAACTTACTTCTTCTATTTGTGCTGTATGATTTATTTCAATGCTGCTATGTAATAATGATAGTCTGTAGTAAATAGATAGATTTTCGGAGTAGAGTACATCAATGACTAAATATTAATATTGATTGCCTATCCGCTGAAAGGTTCCCAGAGACTGATTGAGAAATATCTGGGGAATCTCTGGATTATACAGAACGAGTGAAAAAGAAAAACCTTCCAACGGAAGTACCGGAATGTATTCATTATTTTTATTAGCACTTATGAATTCCTAATATAAATCTTTTCGAGTGGCAAATATAATTTGATTCGTGGACGAGACCGGCGGAACTCTTTAAAAGGTCAATTTCTCTTTAAAAAAAAACAGATATTTTGAAGACAATAAATATTGGCTGATCCAAATTCAACTAAAACATGAATGGATCTCTTTTAACGTTTATCAGATGTTTTAGAGATAGCCCGCAACTTTTACAGCAACAGGAGATACGATTGTAATTAAGACATTTGATGTTACATTTGAATAAGAAAGCTGTGAGCAGCGAAAATCGGAAAACATAAATCTAATTATCGACTTTTTAAAGATGGCCAGAATATTACGCTGTAGCACTTTCAATCTATATCATATTTTTGTATTCTATTTCTAGGATTCCAATACCATTAATCTATAGTCTCTATCTTTATCGTTATAAAAGTAAACGAGATTATATGGATTTTGCGTTCACCTTTCTATTAACAAATCTGCTCGGTTTTGTTGTTTATTATATAATCCCAGCAGCGTATGTAATTTTTTTTTGCTTAATAATAATTATTATAATCTTATTCAATTTTATCCTTAGGCCGCCCTGGTATGTTGAATTGTACGGTTTTGAATTTAATCTAAAAGCACCTGGTAATGCAGCTGGCTTTATACATTTTGATCAGATAACAGGTTTAAAGGTTTTCTCGTCGATGTATTCAAAAAACGCAAATGTCTTCGCTGCTATTCCGTCGTTACACGCCGCATATCCATTAATCACTGTGCTGTACGGTTCATTGAGTAAAAAGCTTTGGCTCCATATCGGTTTTGTTTTCTTTACATTCAGCGTTTGGTTTTCTGCGGTTTATTCGCGACATCATTACGTATTGGATGTTATCGCTGGTGGAATGTGTGCTTTGACAGCTTTCATACTCTATCGTCTTCTATCTCGTATACCGACAATAAATAGGTTACTTACTGCTTACAATAAATTAATTTGAATGACTGATCTATTGGAAAATATTACATTTATTTGTATGTGAATGACAGCCATTTAATATTGTCAGATTGCTGTTTATACAAGTAAAAAAAGAGAAACAGAACTGTCTTCAGCTTGGTGTTCGCTTCTTTCTGTATTTCGGGTTCTATCTTGTTTTCTTCCTTTTTTTAAAATAAACAAGTGACAATGAATGATCTCGATAATACCATTCACATGCAAGCGATGATTTTTAAATCTCTATTAGAAATCTCCTTGAGATATCCGATAATAAGTAAACTGCGAGTTTCCGTGGATAACCGTAAATATACATTACCGGTCTTGTGGAATCAATAGGAGGAACCGTATGAGTTTGTACTATGATCTACATAGAATGTTCTATATCTTACAGCCGAAAGTACCGATTCAAAGTTCTACGGAAATCAACATTATTTAGCTCTACTAAGTGTGTAATATACAGTTGAAACTTGAGTACAGAACCTATAGATGTATTCATATTAAAATAATTTCGTAGTTTATGCTTATGTTGAGAACACTTGAGAGTAGATATAAAGTGTAGAATATCATAAAACAAAGGAGTCCTTAAAAAATTTATTACACTCTTAAAAATGCTATATCCTTTCCCCTATAGTGACTAACGCTTGAGAACAAATGCAGATCATTTATTGGCAAACGCTTTGAAAAGTATCAGTTTAAAATTGTTCACGTTACACGGTCGATATGCGATCGCCAAACGTGCTCTTTGTTGAACAAATGATCAATGCGAAAATAAGCGTTCGTGACAGTATGTCATTTAACTTCGAGTGTCATAAGATTTGAGGGTATATAATATTACCATAAACGACCAATACGTGTTCGTGTATTTAATTTTTTTCAAAGAAACTAGCGTACTATTATATTTCGGGACATTTATCGATTGACTTAATCTTTGGCGATGGAGTAAATTCAAGTACGTCGCTTGAAATTGATTCTCATAATGTTGGCTCTTCGATTTAAAATTCTTTCCGGAAAACAAAAATGTCAATATAATCTCGCAGTTTTTTGACATGTGGAAAAGAGATGATAGTGTGAGATAGAATCGTTAGTGGTAGGTTTCTCTATGATGATTTTTAATCAATTTTCAAAAGTGACAAACAATGATTTCTTATAGAGTAAAAATACTTTTTCCCCAATCGAATTTCTTAAAAAAATTCTCTCAGAAAACGTCCATCCTTCAATTTATCCAAATTACAGGTTTGCATTCACTTTCATACAAATAACGGTCAATAATTTATATTGAACTTTACAATGCCATGTGAAAATTTATTCACGTTGAAAATAAACATTGTCTCAGAACACAAAAAAAGGACGAAACTATTGCTTCATTCAGAAGGGCATTGATTTATATCTTTTTTTTTCTTGAAAATTATAGCAGAAAGCAAATGTCAGTTGACCTATAAAATTCAGACTTTCACGCTCGATTAATGTCAATAATCGGAATTTTCACTTTCTATTAACCATAGAACACATATATACTGATTTCAATTGAAAACCATTTCTAGATTGTTCTCCAACATAAAACCTCAATTAAATATTTTACACCTTTTTTCACTGGTTATAATTACATCCAATAGGTAAGCTGATGCTCGTTATTCATTCATTCATTTAAAATTTTGTTTTATTTTTTTATTTTACCACAGATCGTTTCTTTGTTTCTCTCTCGCGCTCAGTTTTCTGCCGAAAAAAAACCCTAGCTTTGATCTTTTTCAATTGAATAAGACCTTTTATTCGCATTGTTACTTATATAATAGTTAGTTCGATATGGCATCATTAAAAATGAAGCTAATTTTGATCGATTACTTGAGTAGGCGTATCAACTTTTCGTAAATCACATATGTTTGCCAAGTTGATGATTAGTTACTTTTAATAGTGACCTCTGTTCGAATTGTATGTACATATGTCTGTTGGCAGAACAAGGACAAATGTGTGTTTGTTCTCATTAGAGAAAACGAAAATCAGAACTATGCAAGTATTTAAATAACGATCATGATTATTTTGTTTATCCCTCAAGATCGTTGTTATTCTTGAAGCGACGAGCGGTATGCAAAAGTGAGAGCAGAAAAAGAGAATAGTTTTATGTACAATAGTCTGTATTTCCATAATCGATGGACAAATAAATATATTTCTTTCAACGATTCATGTGTAGAGAGCGAGAGAATGATGACTAATATTAACCCATTTATTACTATGCAAATTGTAAATGGATTCAATTTCTTCTCTTCTCTTCTTCTCTTCTTTTCGTTGGCGCCGAAAAAAACAAAAGCGGTACGAAAATTATGACTCAGTCTACTTGTCGTTGGATGTCAGAGGATTTTAATATGAGTTTGCAATAGTTGCAGTTACATGATGATATGTCATCGCGCATTTACAAATTCATTTTTCTTCGCTCACGCAATCAGTTTACTAATTTATGTTTTAATAGTAAAGAGAAATAAGCGCATGTCCATTCTATTGAACGATCGATTTGTCTATAGGACAATTTCTATTTGTATGAGACTTCACCTTTTCTTTTCTTCTTTTTTTTAATTACTTATAATCAACTTCTCTGTCGTCATCATAATAGACAGGTCGACAAGCAATGATCATAAATCTTTTCTCCGCTCATAACAGGCATATCGAGAATTGATTTGCTAGTGACTGTCTGAACAACACGTGCATGTATTTAGCACTTTCTATCATTCATCATTTGTAGAATGAACGAATAAGACGGGTCACCATTGTAGCGAGCCTATTCATTGTCTACTTCTGCTTTTTTTTCTATGACTTGTTTTGCGTCGATCATGAAAACAATAATTCATGGCTTTAGTCATAGGTAAAACCATTCTTCATATTACCATGAGTGATTCTTGGTGACATTGCATTTTCGATAAACGTAATTTAATGATTAGGGTCGTTTTTATCGTTATCAATTACCGCCTCGTTACATTTGAACGTTTTAATATATTGATAGTTTCTATGATTTTTTTTATTCATTCACCTCTCGTCAATCAACAGACAAGGTTCTATGTCAGTTGCAAATTTTCTTTTCTGTTATATATACGTATGTATGCATTTTAACCTGCTCTTGACTTAATATAACGGAAGTGGAACATTTTTTTTATGCCAGGTTTTTTTTCATTATTCTTTTAAAAGAAGAAGTTCGTTATAGGAAGCAAAAGGTTAAGGCTGTTCGTATTTTTTCTTCTCTATCGAGCCATTCAATAATCGTAGAAATATAGGTGAGCGAATATTTTTCGATATATTTAGTAGATAAAGAGAAAGTTATTTTTTCTTTTCGTATTTCAGATTAAATGATTATTAACGAGTCTATGCTATTTCCGATTGTGATATAAATAAAAAGAAGCTTCTACGGAATAATAATAATAATAATAATAATGATGGAGTTTAACTTAAGAGAAGTATTTTCAATTTTGGATGAAAACCATGAGGGACAAATACAATTGCGTCGTTTTGTTGATGTTGCTAATAACTATTATTCAGATGCTGAAGTAAGTACATTCAAATTTCAAGTTTGAACAACTGTTCATACGAGTATAATCTTGAAGAAATGCAAAACTAGTCATTTTCTCTTTTTTTCAAGCGAGGAAAAAAACATGTTTTACCATGAAGTCAGAATATAGATGTAAGAAAAAGGAAGCATAAAAAATGACGGCTTTGTTAGAGTCAGGTGTGTATACCATAGGACGTCCCGATTTTTTCTCTCTATATATTAATCGAACGCAAAAGCTACGACCACTCTTCTGCTTTCCTTTTTTTTCTCTTATTTTCTGTCTCGTGTCTTTCCCCCATTGAATCAAATAGAATACTAATGCTGATAAACAAGTTCCTATTGATTCTATTTTAGCAACTTGCTGGAATAACAAAAGCGCTAGATCCCAAGAATACCGGTTTCATTAATTTTGATCAATTTTGTCAAGGCATCGCTCAAATAAGTTCATTGCAAGGTGTATCTCTAAAAGATGTTGCATCCGATTTAACACGTCTCAGCCGAGAAAATTCATTGGTGGAAGACTCTGATCAACGTAGTCTGGTAAGCATAAACCATTATTGAATCAATTCTATTGTTTAGAAAAGAAATAACAACGATAAGAATTTTATTTTTCCTAGAAAACAAATAATGGTTTCGATTTTTCTTTATCAAATTTTATAATCGACGAGGTTATTTGCTAATGTTTCTTTATCGATGTTTTCTTAATTTTTGTTTTTTCTCTATACAAATATTTAATTTTTAGAATCAAGACGGTAGCACGACAACATTTAACGAATACGACGTTGACAGCGAGGACACATCTCATCTTCACAATAGTAGCAAACCACACTCAAAAACCAATATTAAAAATAAAACATCGATTCATATTCAAAGCAGCAGTCCAAATAGTCAATCGATCTCACCAAGATTGGATTCGGCTATGTAAGTTGTTTTCTTATTAATTGAAAAATAAAATAGCAAAGACATGATTCACCTGTCAAAGTCTTACGTTTCATCAAAATTTTGGTAAATAAAGACCTGCTTGCAACTCAAGTACCTTCGAGAACAAAAACAACAATAATGTCTCATAGATTTTTCGATCAAATTACTCAATTCATGCAGAGAAAAAAACAACCGATCTTCAATAGAAAAAAATCAGCCAAAACCTGAGAAGAGCTTAGCATTTCGTATCTGTACAACTCGTGCTGATCGATTCACATAACGAAAACATTCGCCACAACGAATGTATCAATAAAATATCCATAAAAAAAACAGGCGTTATGACGCGAGACACATTTTACAATGTGTTTTCGATGTCAATCACGCATACTGGGCTTTTTATAATTTTTTTTCGTGTATTTATTGCACTTAATGCGACAACAAAAATTAATGTGTTGTGCTGATTTTAGAGAAAAAAATCACCTCATCGTATTAAACTACAGAAATTTTCTAACAAACCAAGGCACATGCTTTGAATGTTTAAGAATAAAACTATTCGCGTTAAGACCGGACTATCCGCAAAGAAAAAAAATGTAAAATATCGCCGGCGCGATAAGCTCGAGGCTTCCCACAAACTTGATGGTATTCATTGCTTGTTAATTAGGGTCGAAGTTAAACTCTTCCCTCGTAAATATATATTTTTTCCTTTCAGTTTCGGCGACGAAGAAGAGTTCAGCGGTGTAGCTGAACCTGATTCGAGTAATTATCTATCGGATTCAATTACCCGTCCACGTCCTACCACGCCTCAGCGTGTCTCGTACGTGTTTGTTTATTGTTATGATTCAACTTTCTGTTTTTGTTCGATGTTTCTAGTGAAATATTGAAAAGAAATAATTATCTAAAACCCGTAACTCCGGCTGAAGAACTCGAACAACATCTACAAGAAAGTGTTCGTAGAAATTCAGAGGAAAATTAAATCAATCCTAAGCACGCTTTTGATTTCATAGGTTGAGGAATTACAGAAAACTGTTGAAAATTTAACTGTACAAAAGCAAACAACAACTGATCGTTTATCTAGAATTCAAAGTGAAAATACAGATTTAAAAAAACGGTAAAATTTGAGATTGAAGATTAAATCAGTACCGTTTGCTTTAATAGACTTTTAGCGCTCGAAGACCGTTTTCAAGATATCGAAGGACATCAATCCCGAACAACACACAGTGACCAACAAAAATTCGTCGAATCTATTGTTAGTTTTAAAAACTGTGATTTAATTCTATGCAAACTTAATGTTTTCAGAATCAAATAGATCGAACTTTTCTACAAGAGAAGGAAATCCTACAATCAAGGTAAATAGTCAAAGAATTTTTTCACCTTAAAAAAGAAACTTATGTGGTTCATTCTTCTAGTGTCATGAGGTCTGTTTGCTGCTTTTTTTCTAACTACCTTAATTCTTTTCTCGTCGTCTTGTTTTTACGTTTAATCTCTCCGTGTCTTGCTTATAAATTAGAAATAGAAAATAAAATCAGTTTTCTTCATTTAGAATTAGTGCAATTGAAGCTGAACTTAAAAATACACAAACAACAAACGGGCAAATGAAGAAAGATGTCACACAATTAAAACAGGTGATTTATATCTATCGTCATGGTAACGATCGTAGAGAAAAGCAAATGTCCCTGAATCGCATCGAAATGTGAAGTCCTATGATTAGAGCCTTGTGGTGGGAATAGGCGGAGTTATGAGACGAAAAGAATTCACTCTACATGACACCATAAATTACTAGCCTTTTTCTTTATAATAGCAACGGTAAACTTTATCTCGACGATCAGTTGAATTTCCATCTTTGATAAAAAAATCGGTACGAACTATTCGTTCAGTTTGAGTTATTTGAAAGCGAATCAGAAACTATCGAAAGTTTCCGTATTCGAGTCCTCTTTGTATGATTTTTTTTTCATAGTAGAATTTCCTTCCCTGTAAATCTTAATTGAAAATTGCTGAATATGTTTGTTTTTGCTCTTTTAGAAACTCGATGATGTCGATGTTCAGCTGCGTGACAGTCAAGTTCGATGCGATGATTTATCTGAAGACAATGAAAAACTATTACAACAATTACGTCTTCAACGTAAACAACTCGAAGAAGAAAAATTGCGAAATGCACATGTAAGAAATGACGAACTTTTACGTTAATAGGAAAACAAAATCGAATTTCATTCTACAATGTTTCAGCTTGCCGAACAACTCACATCTGAATCATCGAGAAAAATTTTCGCTCATACATTGAGTCGAACGGAGGATATTATTAAAACCTCTGAAATACGTATTCAAGAGCTCGATGCTCAAGTTCAAGCACTAAAATTAGTAGGTTATCAAAACATTATCAAACCCTCAAGAAAAAATTTTGTCATTTTTTTAGGAAAATGAAAAACTTCTAAGTGAAAACGAAGAATTACGAGAACGTGCTGTTATAGAGTATGTAACTCGGACGATAGAATATTTAAAAATATCTCGTTTTTTTTTGTTTCTAGCGGTATTGATGAAGGTCGCCGATTGATGAACAGTCATAGTTCGTTATCCTATGCTGCTGAACTCGAAGTTCTATCGAAAGACGAGGTAAACAACGAATCTATCTTTGAGTAGAAGCTGAAAAAAAAGACGAAAAATAATTTCTGACGGATACTTATTGCTTAACAAAACTAGAACGCAGACTCTTTAATATGCATGATGTAAATATTTGCAGTTGATGAGCAAATTGAGAGATCAACTGATGGTGAATGATCGTCTACGTCAATATATCGAACGAATGCTAAGTGTAATCATCGAAAATAGTCCTCAATTACTTGAAGTGACGATGAATGCTGGTGCAAATATCGTTCCCATGAAACCACCAATCAATCATCGAATAGAACCATCGAATGAAATAAAAACTAGCTCTCTTACTCCCGAACCAGTAATCGAGGAACCGTTACCTGCACCGACTCCGAAGAAACAAACAAATGACAAGTATTGCCACGTGTAACTTGGAGTTCCTTCTAAATTTTCTAGCCTAATGCTTTATTTATTTTTTGTATATATCGGTCTCTTAACTAGAGCCGAAATCTTGTGCTAGCTTCTTTCTTCATTTCTCTACTATCTTCTCAACATTACTCCTAGTCTCACATGTTGTCTATTTAACACTTCTATTGCTTTTTATCTATTTGCACGTTTTATGTTCTGTGATATATATATATAGCCTTTTATATTCGTCATTGAAATGATTTATAGTATAAATTTGATTTTCTATTTTAGCTCGTAAGCCTAAATCGACGATTGTATGAATATATCGATACATTATTACTGCAAATATTAAACAATGATCCGACAATATTAGAAAAAAATTGACAAATCGATATTTTATTCTGAATTAGATCTTTTCTCTCTATTTCTGTTGTACAGTTCTTTATACGAGAATGCTTTCTTATTGTTGCTGATGTTCGAGCTTACGAATATTTAAACGTATGCTTACTAGTTGAACGGAAAAAAAACAGCATGTGTGTTATTCATCGCTAACTACTAGTCACTCTTATGAATTTCAATCAACGAAAGAGTGATAGTGCTTGTTCTTGTGTTTTTTTATTTTGCATTATTTTATTTTAAAAAACATTCCATTTCTCGATTCATGGATCAGTATTTTACATTTTGTTCTTAATCAAAAACAAAATAAGTCCATAGTTACTGTTGTTCTCATTGTATGTTGGTCTAATTTTCTGCTTCTTCTTCTGTCTATATTATATTTGATTTTTTTATATTGATTTTTTCGCCGGTTCTTTACGTATCTATCTTGTAAAAAGTCACATAACTTCTTGTTATAAAAAAAGGAACATTTGAAAAATTTTTACTTTTTCGGGCATTTTATAGCAATGAAGATGGCAGAAGAATAAAGCCAAATAATACCTATTTGATGACTGATTGGTTGAAACACATGCAGGCAAATGTCATGGTGAGAGAAATGAGGGTATTCTTTCTATATGAATCATTGCATAAAATCTTATAAAAATCTTTATTCAATTAGTCACGAAAATTCTAAGATTTCAAATTTTCGTCACGATACAATGAGTTTTTTGGGAAATATTAGTAAAAAAGCTGTCGAAAAAGCCTATAGTCTTGCGTCGAAAGTTGAAGGTGGTCGTGACTATTTTACTTCAGCTACTCATACAGTTAGTTCATTAGTTGCAGGCAAAAATCCACGGTAGAATAAATTTAGTACGACAGATCTGAAACACACTCCTACCTATTTTAGTGTTTATCTAAAGCCTGACAATGTAATTCAAATTATCTCTCGATCATCAGGTCGCACAATACAAATTGTAGTGTCACAAACAACTAATCAATTGATATGTGATGCTATTGGCGGTACCGGATCAGATTATCCAAATGCTCATTGGCTTGTTGTATGTACTAAAAATGGTCATTATTATTTTCATAATAATTATAATTATCTTGCTATACAAAACGGCAAAATCGTCATCATTCCTTCATCAATCAACGACAAATCTCCAGTCGAAGCTGAATTCCTAGTACAAGATGTTTTAGGTTCAGCTCAAGCTATTTATTTCGAATCGGTACACATGCCCGGATATTTTCTTGGTTTCAACGAGGATGGCGATCCATCGAATGCGCCGAAAATACAAAGAAAAGATCGCTCTTCGCAATTCGAGACTCATATCGTAAGTTAACAAAAATATTCTTCCTACCTGCTACTCATTTCGGTTTCGGCGAAAATATGTAGACTTGTTTTTTCATTGTGTGGCCTTGTCGAAAAAAATTCCTTTTCAAATATGACTAAAAGAATGAAATCAAATTTCTTTCGAAGGATAAAACTATACTTTGCATGTTAGATACTACTGGAATGATGGGAATCGACAGAAAATTTCTTGATTAGAGTATTGTGTTTTTCATTTTTGATTGGCCCAGAGATAGGCAAACCTGTTTTGAGAATTCATGACTATTCGACAGTGAGCTGTTTTCTTGACCATCGTAATTGAACTATAAAGTTTGGTCTCGCACAACTCTAGTGATGACTAAGGGTAAGTTTTTCTATATCCGATTGTACATTGAAGTGAAAAGAATGAATGCTAAACTTGTTAATTTTCTTCTCAAAGATTGCCTATGGACCCGGTGTTCAACCCGAAACAGATGATACTAGAGTCGAAACACCTGCCGAACCAGCACCTCCATCATATTGTGCAGCAGCTAGTGCATCAAGCAATCAATCTGACACTCAAACAAAATAAAAATTTTCTTTCTTTTTGTTCTCTGCATGTAATTCTGATAGGAATATCGATCACTGGCGTCGTCTATCGTTTGATAGGTGTGTTCATTTTTTTATTGTTTTTCACCATTGGTTTTATTCTCTTAACCAATAATAAACGAGAAATGTTGCATAGCATATACGATGCATGACCTCATCTGTTACTTATTCAAGGAAATGAAATAGTTTGTCAAATATATCTAAGATGCTATTTTTTACTTAATGAAAATCAAGAAACGTCCCATAGTGATGAATAAGAAAACAAGTGGATGCGACAAACAACAACGAAAACGTTCATTAAAACATGTGAATTTTATCAAAAAATTTAAAAAACGTCGACATCTTTCCACTCATATTATTTCATCATGGACGAAAAGAAAATCAAAACGAAGATCTTCATTAAATAATGTCATTACTAAAAAGAACAACAGTAATGGTAATAGTCGAACGTCTCGTGTAAGTTTTACTCACTTGAAGGTTATTTAGCACAGTTACGAAATTAACGATAGCCTTGCAAAATTTTAGTACGACGATTTTTCAAGACAATTTACTATTAAACTAAATCGAATTCTCTCTCTCTCTATATATACGTATATACTATTTTTCCGAATCAGTCTATAATTATAAATAGAAAAAAGCACATCATGTCCTTCTTTAATGCAATCAAAAGATGCCATTATGTCCTTGATAAATAAAACTAGTCGAAGAAGGACAATGAAAATTTCCCACGAGGTATTCCTTCGATATAAAAATAGCTTTTCGATAGAGGGGAAAATGCTTTTATTTTTGAGTATTTTGCTAATTGTCATAGGCGAGGAAATTATTCAATGCGTCATGCGAACTTGAAATGGCAGTATCTAATAAGGAAAATTTCACAATTGATTAATAGTTTGTGACAACGGACTAAGCCTATCATATGTACCGAATATTCTGAAACGAGTGCAAAATCTAGAATTATTACTATGAAAATACGTATCCCCTTATGAATATGCAGCTAATCGTAAATGTTGTTAATCTTTTTGTTTTTAGAGATCTTCATATCATCGTTATATATTTCCAAGTGAAATAAATTTACCAAATTGGGAACGAATCTCACCCAATATAGATAAAATTCTATCAGATGAACATACAAAATCAGGTGTTTACGCACATGAAATTCATCTTATTCAACAGGAACTCGAAGCTCTGTTGTCCATGTCTCTTGTACGTGAAAATCTTCTTCAGTCAACCAACATCGATAATAGAAATTCAAGAATTCAACAACACCAACAAGCTGAATATATTTATTCGTCGAAAAACATTCCAAACAAACCGTTAATCAATCATCAACAACGAAATAATTCTCCACATGTGTTACACGATCGACAACTATCGATAACACCAATAGCCGATGCACGTATTGATACAATGTGGTCAGATATTGATTCATATTATCGTGAAATATCATCCAATGATATATCATCAATAAAAACTTTGGTCTATTCGAACCAGAAATTAAAAGAAAAAATAGTCAAATGTAAAAATGATTATATAACTCATAAATTACCCAAATCAAGTATAGCCGAACAGTTAAATAGAGAAACCTATCCAGACTTATTAAATACTAGTCAAATCAATCCCTTAATTACGCAGTATACAAATCAAACAATAATAGAACGAGTTCAAACAAAATTATATGAGTATGCGTCATCTGTTCGCCAAACACCTAAATCACGTTCATCGAATGGCAGGTCATCATTGCGAAGTTCATCACGTTTGCAAACAGATCATCGAAAAGGCCGTTTTCCTATACAAAATGTAAGTCTATCTCGCGGAGTAGATTTTGCGCAACTCAAATTATTCTCTCTGATATTATGTCACGAGCGGTACATAGGCCGATTATTCTGACAGTTGGCTTAGTATTGTAATTGGAAAATGTGCTTTTTTCCTTCTCTTGCGTATACTTGCTGAATTTTGAAGGAAGATAGAATAAAAGAATTTCTAATGTTTCTTTAATTATAGAATGACTTTCTTATAGAACTATCTAAAATGCGACATGACTTAACGGTTGCGCAGAGTATCAAGTCGACATCTGGCAGATACGAGTAGGAGCTATATCACCACTATTTGCTCTTTGAAAAGAAAAGAAATTCTGTAAATTATCGATTGCATCTTGTTCTTTTAGCTCAAAAGCGATTCAAATGACGTTCAATCGTCGATTATCAAAGGCAAAAATAACGTTAAAACTTTACCGAACAGTTCAACCTTATCGAAAAAACTTCAAAATCGTATTCAATTGGTTCACGATTATTTAACTGATCAGCATCCGTTGAGTATTGAAAATAAAAAACACAAATCTTCGAAAAGAATTAAAAATGGCCATTGCAAAGATATGTTTGAATCGAAACTTTCAACATTAGCATCATTGTTACAAGAATGTTCATCGTTAAGTTCATGTGCGCTTGAACGAGCACATCTACAATCGAATAATGAAAAAACATGGGGAAAATTGAATGGAATTCAGCAGGATCTTGAATCGTTGATACAAAAAATCGAGATGACCGGTGATTACAATAATAATATCAGTACAAAGAAAACATTACGAACTCTAGATCATTTACTGAAGAATTGGAAGAAATGTGAAGATGATTTCGATCATCAATTTGAACAGTTATTTAGTAATTATGTTTAATAGGTGGTTAAATTTTTTTCGTTTTTGTTTCATCGTTCTATTTGTTTAATGTAAATAGGCAATTAGAGGAAAAAGACAAATATTATTTCAGCTTTTGATTTTCTAGTTGTATTTGGTTTTTAGGATTTTTTCTTCTTTCAATTTATGTTTTTGTCAATAATTCACACATTGGCCTGATGAAAAATATGTCCAATTGTTTCACAGTCTAGTATAACAATAATGCACATGTGTTCTCCTTTTTTTAATTTCAGATGATTATTTCGAACGATTATGACTCGATATCAAAAACAAAAAATTGCATAATACATATTAGTCGCTTGTAAGTCGAGACTATACTACGTATTGTTTGCAATGAATACCCTGAAAAGCGTTCGGATCTTCAGTTTATTAGTCCCGAAAAAAGTGCATTTTCATGATATTCTATTATGATCTCTTTAAAAAAGTCATTCGAAACTTCGTGTGAACAGTTCATCGTAAAAGCTTTAGATCTTTTCGTTGTCGCTATCCGGAAATAAGAACATCAAATCCAAGATGATAGATAAATAACATGCTTCGACCATTGACGTGCATAACGAAAACTTACGTAATGAGCTATTCTCTCACAACGGCCTATCTCCATGTAAAGTTTCAAGTTCAAATTTAAATAATCACTTTTCTTAATGTGCGATCGCACTATTGAATTAAAACTCAGCAGCCGAACCCCTTTCAGGATATTCATCATTCACCATGTCCTATATCATAGACATAGTTTCAACTCAGTAGGACTTCTTGCGTTAGATTATTACTTTGTATAGTTGGGTAAAATTTCCAAGAACTGATAGTTTATTCGAGACAAATTTTTTTTTTGCATAGCCAAAAACTATTCCGTAATCTGATTTTTATTTCAAATAATAGACTCGATATATTAAACAAGGACAAAGAAGAATTCCCACGATTATAATTAACTCAGTTGCAACGCGAACATAAGAAAAAAGATTATTTTTATGAGTATTTTTGAAGAGAGGAAATTATGTCTAGAAAAAGTACTGTTTTCATTACTGTTTGATCGTCTACCGTGTGAATTGAATTTTCGAACTCTAAACTTGAGCTTGATTGAACGATATATATGTCACATACATATTGTCTCAATTCTCCTTCGTTTTGCCCTCAAAATTTGAGTAAATGTCTTCGTCATTTGTTATGTGCAAACTGCATTACATCATAGACAGATAGGAATTTTTGTCATTGAATTCAATGGTGTTTAATCAATCAGACCTATTTTCATTGCACTATCAAATCATGTCGTTTTTATCTTCATTGTTTCATTTACAGTCATTCTGTTCTCGTTAACTTTTATCATGTTGTTCAGACGACCTATTTTTCCGAAAAAAGAAAAGGCGAGGGAAAAAAGAGAACGATCATCTTTATTGACCCTCATCTCTCTCCCCTCATTCTTTTTTTTATACGCATTCACATATATATGTATGTATGTATGTATGTCGGTGTTGTAGCGACGAGAGTATGCACTCACGATTCTTCTACGCTTTTTTTCGCCTACAATATATATGAGTACGCATGAATCAGTAGACATTCGTTCTCTTCGCATTTTTTTGTACGCTTACAAACGAGTGAAGTTAGGGCATCGATTGTATGTGCGCGCGTTGATAGATCATTGCCTTGTATCAAAGTTTTTTTCTTCTTCTTCTTCTGTTTTTAGAATGATGATATTTTAAGAAAGAAAAGAAAAGTCATGGCTGATGAGGAGAAAAAGAAGAAGAATTCATCATTAAGACGATGTAGTCTAATTAATAACGACCAAGTCGATGAAGAAAATCGAGCGAATTCGAACTGTGAACAACTGATTCCGATTTCAATCGAATATTTATCAACACCTGCAACTATTTCAAATAAACGACGTCGCAATTCGATAACAAATGAGCAATCGTTATCAACTCAACTATCTTCAAATAGTCGAGATTTTATTTATGATCGAAATTTTTCCATGACACCTACCATAGGAACGCGAAAACGATCAGCACAAGACGATCTAGCCACATTTACAACACATCAATTTATTCAAGAACAACAACAATGTGTAAGATAAGAATATTTATTTTATACTAGAGAAAAATCACGATGAAATAGCACGAAAATTAATATGCTCCGTGTAGATAAATGTCTCAGCTTGCTTACAAAATTTAAATATCGTATATTCAATCAAATATTGAAAATCTCAACTAATCCGAATCTGTTCTTTTTCTTCACGAACAAATTTTTCATGTGCATTTTTTCATCTCATGTACCTTTGAGTGCCTTAGAAACGATAGTTTTCAAAAACAAATATGCATATTTGCCTTATTTCAAAATCTGCTTTTTTGTAGACTCACAAACGAGCTCGATACGAGAATTCCAATAATAATACTGAATTAGAAAATCAGCCACCACGTTTAGCAACAAAACGTCGGTCGATATTCTTCGCTCAACAACACGAAGAAAATCATCTATCATTACCGTGGAATCATCAATCGACTACAAATGATATTTCATTATTTTTTAATGACACTCCTCCATCACTATCTCATTCAGCCACAACATATCATCGAACCAACAGTTTAACTTATCATGAACATAATCCATCCGATCAATATTCATCATTATTAACTGAACATCATCATTCATCAATTTTCCACAATAATTCATTAATAACCACAGATCAAAAAAGTAAATTAGTCACGCATTTTGCGCTCAGCCAAATCCAACTCCTCTTTCATTATTTTAGGCACGATACCGAAACCTTCGAAAGCGAACATACGCTTATTGTCACCACAATTAAATTTTTCCAGTCCATTGCGAACAACAAATTTCCTCTTTGATAATAAACAACAAACAATAATTCGAACAGGAAACATATCTCCAGCTCATTCCGATTCATCAACCGAATCAACATCTACTTGTTCGTCGGATGAACAGTCGCATAATCATCACCATCAATATCGTTTCTATCAGCCACAACCGTGGCGTTCCTATCGTGAACGAGAAAATTACGAACAATTATTAGATCTTGCCGAGAAATTATCCGACCCAAATCGTTTCAATAAAGTTGACATTCAACAATTCTTGTCCTATCGGTATAAAACACCGTCGATAGCATCATCATCATCAAAGCAAACAGCTTGCGTTATTTGTATGTCACATTTTAAAAATGGACAACATATTCGTGTACTTCCATGTCAACATGAATATCATTCGAAATGTATTGCACGATGGTTTGCGATGAATTCTTCCTGTCCTATATGTCGCCGAGATAATTTTCTATCTTCTTGCTGATATATACTTGAATGTATATTTAATTGTACATATCATTTATGGATTTAGATAGTTACGTATATTTCGTTGTGTGCAACAGTAAAATCTTATATTATGTGTATATTTTTGCGATGTTCAGCAAGAAGACAAAAAAACAACAACTTAGGCACTCTTCTTGTCTTCCTATTTTACGTTCTCATCTTTCTTTGAACATTCTTCTTTGTTTGTATGTATACGCAAGACAAGCATCTTTTGTGAGAGAATTAACTATCAGTTAGGTCATCATGTATTCTTTCTATTCAGATTTTTTTTTGTTTTAAAAGAGAAGAAAAAAATTAATAGACAAGTATACAAAAGATTATATACGTATTTTTTTTTCTTCTTTTTCTTACTGGTGCGTGAAAAGAAATGGGTCATAGATATAGACACATGTGCACATTTTTTAACCTCCGGATAGAAAGTAAATCATTGAAGCCCACATATGAGAGTGATCAATTATCATTTTTGCGAGTTACAATTCGCTTGACAGTAGTGGTCATGCATCTTATATATCTGTCTTATCTAGTCCGACGCGCGCGAGAGAAAGAGAGAGAGAAAGAAAACTGGAGGAGTGTCCGAGCATGCCTTGCGACGGGTGATTTCAATAGGATGTCGACCGCCATCATAAATATAACAAGTATAATTAAAAAGAAAAGATAGCGTAGTTCCATTTTCCATCGCCTTGTGAAAAAAATAGAGGAGCGAAGAAAAAAAAATACAGAACGAAAGAACAAACTGTATAATTAAGAGAAAGACGAGACGTCGAGCATCTCTCTCCCTCTTTCTCCCGTATTTGTTCGTTCAGAACGAACAAATGTCTATTCTTAATGTGTGGAGAAAGAAGCATACACAGCACAATGCACATACACAGTTGTCGTGACGAAGTGGGCCTACTTTTTTTCTTTTTGTTTGAAACGAATGTATGCATTCAACATGACGACTTTGTTTTCCTTTGTATAGTTTTAGATCATGATGACAGAAGCAGAAAGCACCGCTAATGCGATGTCTCAGTCTATCGGTAAGTTTTACACGAAGTAAACTACAAAACGTCTTTAATTTATTTTGCGTTTAGATTATAATAACTATACAGTGAATCGTTCATATCCGACAACGGCATATAATTATCGTCATGATAATTCTTGGGAAAAAGCAAATTACGGAACATTTCATCATCAATCATCATTATTTTCAACCGGTGGTATTTCATCCATTAATAAATTCTATCATCCATCTTTCAACGCCATTCCGAATCTCAATAATACAAATCCAAATTTCTATCGGCGTCATAGTATGTTTATAAACATATATACGTTATATACTTATTATGGTTGTCTTTTTTTCTCTCTTTCCTAGCTGAATCAACCTTACAGACATCGACTTCGCTCTATCCCTCGTCTACATCTAATCATTCTTCAAATGTTCCATTTAATTATTCAAATCATTCATCGGGACTTTTTTTTGATTGGAACAATAATGGATCATCTCTAATGCGTACGCAGAGTGCTTCATATCAAGACTATGCGGGATCAAGTATGTGCTTAGTATTAATTTAATAATCACTGGCAAAATAAATTTATATGATTCAATTAGTTCGAGTTTCTTTTTTTTTATATAGTTTACAAAAATCGCCTGTACGATTTATATTAATCATTAGGATTGCATGTTTGGAACAAGGAAGAAGAAGAAATGCATAGTATTAGAGATCATAGGCGGCGGACCCATTAGATTTGGGGAGGCTCATTTAATTTGAAAAAAAGTTGTAGAAACAGACTACCTGTTAGTACCAGATTTGTTTTGTTTTTAACGCCACCGTTGTTACCAGTTCTTGTCCCTTACGAGACTATATTTCCGCTACCTATATACAACTTATAAGTAATTATAATGATATCTACTTTTCACTGTTTTAGCTTCATATCCATCGTACAGTCCAATAACTTCATCGCAATTAACAGCCAACGATAAGTCTACTGTCAATAGCCGAGTATCACAAATGGCATCGAATAACCCTTATCCATCATTTTATAATATAATACCGCCGATAAATTTCCCATTAACTCCGCCGTCGTCGATTGTAACTTCAACGATCTCGCAAGCATCGAAGCTTTCTGTTCCGTCCAAAAAAAGCAAACGCCCACGTTTGACTGCTCATGTTCGTAATGAAATTCTTAAACTTAAAGCAAATAAGCCAACTATATTCGTCTGGGAAATTCAACAGAATCTATTGCAAAATGGTATTTGCACTGCGCAAACTTTACCAAGTGTAAGTGTTTCATCATAATTTTTTTTCGATCTCATGCTTCCTTCTGTTTTCGTTATTAATAGCCGACAGTTATTCAACGAGTTCTTACTAAATCGTCGAAAAACAACAGTGCAACAATTAAAGAAGAACCAAAAGTACATGTCAATTTACCATCAAGATTAAATCCTTCGTCGTCAGTAACAATATGTTTGTCGCCATCACCATCGCCAACATTATCGAATGGTGAATCGATTTCTGAGTGTTCAATTTGTCTTGAATCCTATCGTAGCGGTCAAGAAGTTAGTATATTGGCTTGTTCACATGAATATCATTCATCATGTATCGGTGAATGGATGTTAAAAAATCGTTCGTGTCCAATGTGTCGAAAAGATATTCATAATCAACCACAATTTGTTACACTTTTGATTTGAATTATTTTTTGTTTTGTGTTTATTGTAAATACGAAAAGCTTTTCAAAAGACAATATGCTCTCTCTGGCACAACAATGATGTGATTGAAATAAAATAAAATAAATATTGTTTACTGCTTATGTTTTTCTATAGAAAAAAAAAGAGAAGAAGTCTTCATAATAAATCTAATGAAATTTTCTATTTGTTTATGAAATTCAGATAATAAATATGACTGATGATAAAGCTATACGAGAAGAAATTGAAAAGTTCCAAGCAAAACGACGACGAATTGTAAGCAAACGATGGAAGTTTATTCACTAAAGATTTTTCGGTTTATAGGAACAGTCGGAATCCGATGATGAATTCAAACTAGACGATGCTCACGAATCCGAGATGCGAGATGAAAGTACTTTCGTACCAGTGAAAGAACGACGCCGACAAAAAGTAGGTTGTTTATATATTTATAAGTGATTGGTGTCTTTTGTCTGTTTGCTTTACCAGTAGTCGGTGAGCATCTGTTCATGAATTAGCCATTGAATACCTACAGATTAAACAGAATAAAATTACACTTTGAAGTATCGCGTGCAAGTTAGGCGCATTTGCTATAACAGGTAGAACGTTGTTAGTAGAATGTCTGCGAGATAAAAAAAAAACATGAAACACGATGTAATGCTAATCTGTTAATAGAAAGGAGTTTCTAATTTTTTTTATTCCATCTGCATAAAAATTTCAGATTTAATACGAAAAATCACGAGTGATGTTCACTTCTTTCGGTCAAAAACTGATCTTAGTGTATTTGAAAAAAAAGGTCATTCGATAGAATCTTAGGGGAAATATTGAAATAATAGGATCACTGTCTTTACCGAAAATTTTCTCTTACGGAAAACGATTGATTTTTTTGTACTCGGCCTCAAAAGTTCAAGTTCGTGGAGTCCTTTACTCACATAGATACTGCAAATGTTGCGTAATACAGATAAAATCAACGAGCGACCGAGCGTAAGTTGAAATTCGAGGGCGAATTTTTAATTTTTTCTTTTTGAAAAATTGAATTCTGAATTGCTCTTCGATGAACAAGTGGCGGATCCAGGATTTCTTATGCTGAATCTCAGCTTGATCCCATGCGACCGATTCCCTATCTCTCACTCATGATGTCTATCGATTACATAAAGTAGTCGAGAGTTTATTACAGAAACAAAAGCCGATTATGTCGCCATTGCTAATTATATGCGTGTCACATTCATTTACTTCAGCTACAACGCGTTTTGGGCAGTTTAAATGGTGGCAATAACAATGCGGATAATATCGATCATGTTGCGGCCGACGCTGCACATGCGCAAGCAGCAGCTGAAGAAATTACAGTTGGACCACAAGCTAATTTTACATTACTTGATCAAATGAATGAAATAAAGAAAAATCAAAGTAAAATTTAAAGACATCCATTTCAAGATATTTATTCTTATAAAATATTCTTAGATACATCGGATCAAACAAGTGCAGATAAAATGCTTAAAGAAGAAGAACAAATTCTTCACAATTTGGTAGAAACAAGAGGTAAAAGATTGATTTTCAATTTTTTTGTTTATTTAATAAAATTGTTTTCCTCTTCAGCTTTAATGGGTGTTGCTGAATTAGCCAAAGGCATTGAATATACGGAGCCAATTCGAACAAGGTATGAAATTAAAGAAAAAATTTACAAAAGTAAAATTCGACCTGTTTAGCTGGCGACCACCAAAAGCTATCCTTCGTTTGCCAGAAGAACGCCATCAACACATTCGACAACTCTATAATATCGTTGCAGAAGGCGATGATATTCCACCACCGTTAATTCGATTTGAAGTAGAAACTACGATTTTGCTTTTTGTCTCATTCATTGATCGTTTTATTTTTAGGATATGAAATTTTCCAGCGGTATTATAGATGCATTGAACGAAAAAAAGATTTCACGACCGACACCCATTCAAATGCAAGGCATTCCCTCTGTGTATGACTTATTTAATTAATGCAAATTCAAAAACAGAAAAATTCTTTTAGTTTATCGGGCCGAGATCTTATTGGTATTGCTTATACTGGCAGTGGGAAAACGTTAGTTTTTGCTTTGCCAATTGTTATGTTTTGTCTTGAACAAGAAAAATCAATGCCATTCGTGCGCAACGAAGGACCTTACGGTCTTATTATTTGTCCATCGGTAAGAAATCTCTAGTAGATTCATATTTTTACCTTGCCGAAAGTATTCTACGCAGATACAACTCGAGCTTACGAACGAACTCTTCCGGTAGTTTATCGCGTTTGATATAAAACTGCAGTTAACATGCAAACACACTAATGAGTTATAAATAATCTGAAAAATTTGTAAATCTATTTTAAATGCATGCTGTGACCCATACCGTGGGGAACACTGGATAGGATCAATCTCAGCTTTGGACGTCAGCCTAAACGACGATAATTTCGAGTCTATTGATTTTGCTAGACTTTAAAGTAACGCCATTTTATCTACCGGTATGTATAAATGATTCCCGAATTTTCTCTGGTGCAAACAAAAGAACAGGAGTTTTCTGCTTTAGACCTCGCTGCATGAAATTAAAGATATTTTCTTGATGCAGAATAGAGCACTCAATAGTATTTCGCATGAATAAGCTAGAAGCTCGAATTAATTTCCAGGATATTCTTAGCCGATCAACAAAAGAAGTTTTCATAACGTGATGAATCTTTTTGTTAAAATGCTAACAACTATTGAACCGGTAAATTTGATAAAACGGACATTTTAAAAAAGAATTATTACGTTGTACCCAGCTCTATGGATGTAACAATGTTTCGCAAGTCGTGATTTTCTCGAATTTCTACGGAAAAGTTTTCGTGCTTTATAGTTCTGTCCACAGATAGATAGAACAGTTTTGATTATTTTTAGCGTGAATTGGCTCGACAAACTCATCTCGTAATATCGAATATTTGCGAACATGCACATAAAGCTGGTATATAGTTGTGGTTTTTAGCTTTCATTTCTTTATGTCAAACATTTAGGATTACCATTATTGCGATCTATCGCTTGTGTTGGTGGTACTGCTATGAAAGATCAATTAGAAACAATAAAAAGGTATAGAGAAGAAATATAATTTTGTTTTCATATCTTTTTTTTGTTTCCTAAAATGTAGTGGTGTACATATAATTGTTGCAACGCCTGGACGTTTAATGGATATGTTGGATAAGAAATTAGTTTTTTTGGATGTCTGTCGGTATTTATGTTTGGACGAAGCCGATCGCATGATTGATCTTGGTTTTGAAGAAGATGTTCGAAATATAATTTCGCATTTTAAAGTAAGAAAAAAAACGATTTTTCTTCTTTTAAATTTCCCATTTTAAAATTTAGGCCCAACGACAGACATTATTATTTTCAGCTACGATGCCTAAAAAAATACAAAATTTCGCTAAAAGTGCACTAGTTAAACCCATAACGATTAATGTCGGCCGAGCAGGTACGATGATTTTCAATAATTGATTTTTGTAATAGCTTCGTTGTTTGTCCAGGTGCTGCTAGTTTGGAAGTTAACCAACAAATAGAATATTGCATGCCGGAAGCTAGAGTTATGTCTTTATTAACAGCATTGCAAAAGACACCACCGCCGGTAAAATATTAATGAAGTAAAATTCGAGCTCTTTTTATTTTCTTCGAAAAACTTAGGTCTTGGTCTTTGCTCAGCGTAAACAAGATGTCGATGCTATTCATGAATATTTATTATTGAAAGGTGTTGAAGCCGTTGCAATTCATGGTGGAAAAGGTATGATTTACAGAGAGACCAATAGCAGATTGACATTTCACTGAAGAACAAACTTTGAATCAATCTGATGCTAGCAGTTATTGTGTGGAGTCTTCTTTGTGTATAAGATCTTATCGAATTATCGACAGCCACATACAAGATTATTATCAATCATAAATTTGATTGTGCATTAGTTAATAGGTCAACCGTGATTTATCGGTCGCATTTATAATTTGACCATTGAGTCAATTGAATATTTTATGTTTAACCAGAGAATGGAGTCGATGAAGCATAGAATGATCTCTTAACAACAATTATTCAATCATCTTCTGAGATAAAAAGCCGCAGTAATTTGATAATCGATGATTAGATTTGCTTTGGTGAAAAGTCGGGGGGGGGGGGGGGGGGGGGGGGGGGTTTTTTAAAAAAAAATTTTT